TCTAAGACAATTTTCAGACCATGCGCCGGATGTTTTTGGGTTATGTTTCAACTATGCTATTTATATGTTGAATTTGCACTTTGTCTATATTTTAAAAAATGTGATTTACTATGACCAAATCAGTTTTATTTTCATGTTTAGGTAAACCAATGATTTCTACATTTTTCTCTAGCTTCTGTTGTTCATGAAAATCTGCAATTTGTTTGAGTTGACGTAGTCCCTAGGTGACGTCGTTACGTTGGTGAGTGGAAAAGAGACGTGTGCGACGTAATCGATGCATAACAGGATAGAATAAGTATCGGAAAGATTCAGTTGGAAGATAGTAACGTGGTTGAATTATAGCAATAATGATATAATAATGAGTGAAAAATCGGATTGAAGTAAAAAACATGGCGGCGGGGAATTCAGTGCAGCGTTGAAGAACAAAAACAAGCCTTTCGACGTAAAAAAAGCATGGCTGCCAGCGAGGTATACAGGGTGTGTGTAGCATTCAAGAAAAAATACGACAGCTCAACGAAGCTCTAACGTTGCAACGTGTGATCCCCCAATGTGTACAGAGTGCTTCAAAAATACATCATTTGAAAAACAATGCAGTTTAACAGGATTGTAGCGTTTTAACGTGCGATTCCAATGAGAATCGTATCTATTTTCAAATTTGTTGTGGAATTAACGTTTGAAAATGAGGCAATGGGGGAAGCTGAGTACTCGGCAATGCCATTTGGAAATAGGTTGTTACATGCGTTTATTAGTTTTCGTGTTTGAATACATGTCATTTGTCAAATGTCAGGTGGAAAATGGGGTAGTGGACCAAAGAAAACACGCAACACTGGGGGTATGGAGATATTTCAAAATGTTTCAAACATCATCAGGTGATGAGGTTACGTTAGAAAAAAGAAAAAAAAAATATTATATATTTTCATTTTGGTAACATATCACAAAGCCATTTGTATAGAATATCTGTGTTTCGAAGACTGCAATTATATTTGGTTCGGTTATGAATGTGATGCATACAGGGTGAGACACCTTCGTTGTTGTTATTGTCGTATGTGGGAACCATCCATGCCGTATTGTCATAGTCCTCCAAATTCATAACGCGTGTAAGTATATAACGGGTGATTTTTTAAGAGCTTGAGAACTTTTTTAAAAAAAAACGCATAAAATTTGCAAAATCTTATCGGTTCTTTATTTGAAACGTTAGATTGGTCCATGACATTTACTTTTTGAAGATAATTTCATTAAAATGTTGACCGCGGCTGCGTCTTAGGTGGTCCATTCGGAAAGTCCAATGTTGGGCAACTTTTTCGAGCATTTCGGCCGGAATAGCCCGAATTTCTTCGGAAATGTTGTCTTCCAAAGCTGGAATAGTTGCTGGCTTATTTCTGTAGACTTTAAACTTGACGTAGCCCCACAAAAAATAGTCTAAAGGTGTCAAATCGCATGATCTTGGTGGCCAACCGGTCCATTTCTTGAGATGAATTGTTCTCCGAAGTTTTCCCTCAAAATGGCCATAGAATCGCGAGCTGTGTGGCATGTAGCGCCATCTTGTTGAAACCACATGTCAACCAAGTTCAGTTCATCCATTTTTGGCAACAAAAAGTTTGTTAGCATCGAACGATAGCGATCGCCATTCACCGTAACGTTGCGTCCAACAGCATCTTTGAAAAAATACGGTCCAATGATTCCACCAGCGTACAAACCACACCAAACAGTGCATTTTTCGGGATGCATGGGCAGTTCTTGAACGGCTTCTGGTTGCTCTTCACTCCAAATGCGGCAATTTTGCTTATTTACGTAGCCATTCAACCAGAAATGAGCCTCATCGCTGAACAAAATTTGTCGATAAAAAAGCGGATTTTCTGCCAACTTTTCTAGGGCCCATTCACTGAAAATTCGACGTTGTGGCAGATCATTCGGCTTCAGTTCTTGCAGGAGCTGTATTTTATACGGTTTTACACCAAGATCTTTGCGTAAAATCTTCCATGTGGTCGAATAACACAAACCCAATTGCTGCGAACGGCGACGAATCGACATTTCACGGTCTTCAGCAACACTCTCAGAAACAGACGCAATATTCTCTTCTGTACGCACTATACGCATTCGTGTGGTCAGTTCAATGTCCAATAAAGTAAACTGAGTGCGAAACTTGGTCACAATCGCTTTAATTGTTTGCTCACTTGTCGATTATGTAGACCATAAATCGGGCGTAAAGCGCGAAACACATTTCGAACCGAACACTGATTTTGGTAATAAAATTCAATGATTTGCAAGCGTTGCTCGTTAGTAAGTCTATTCATGATGAAATGTCAAAGCATACTGAGCATCTTTCTCTTTGCACCATGTCTGAAATCCCGCATGATCTGTCAAATACTAATGCATGAAAATCCTAACCTCAAAAAAATCACCCGTTACAACTCGTGGAATTTCGCAGTTAGATAGTCACGTTTCTGATGGCCTCGCACATAAACAATATAGATAACTTATATATTTCTCATGAGGATAGCATCCAATTTTTTATATTCCACAAAGCCAGAGGAATACCTCAATCCGTGAATGTTTCTCTTTAAGTAACAGGCGGTACAGCAATCTTCTTTACTCAAACAGAAAACTATTGTGTTTGACAGCAATGAAAAGTTACTACATTGAATTTCAATCCTTAGGATTGAATCCATCCTTAGGATGGAATTGTTACTCGTTGATGGAACCTTGAATATCTATAACAGCTATTCTCATGTTAACTCTGTGAATAATACTGCAGCAAAATCACATGTTCAGTTCCATTTCTTGATAATTTCACTGAATGGGAGGTGTTCAATACCAGTGTCGTACACAGTGACACAATAGGCTCGTTTATTTTGTGGAAATGTGAAATTGTGGAAAATTGGAGGTTTGAGATTACCAAAACTATCAAAATATTGTACAGCATTGCCGTTTTTTGAAGGTGATTGACAATGTTTCGTGATGCATTTCATTAGTTCGGACGTCCATTGCCTAATATGATATAAATTGATCTGAAATCCCTGAAAGAATCTGTAAATAATTAAAAATATTAGCTGGAAAAAACAATTATATTAGTCAAAAAACTGAAATTACAATAAAATAAAATACAAGCAATAACCAAAAAATCAAAAAATTGAATTATAAGCACGAGATGAAAAAAAATTATTAACAAGAAATGAAAATTGGAAATTAAAGGATTCCAAGCCAAGTTACTTCATGACGTTTCGATTGTTAGTATCCACAATCGTCGGCCTTGATCCAGTGTTCATTATCATACTGCATCCACATCTTTGAATGATTGAACTGAAAACAAATGAGAAAAAAAATTTGATCAATCATGAACCCATCATCATCATTAATAATACTCACATAAGACTTTATCGTCTTTCGATTCATGAAGTGAGCGTGTTCTACAATGTATGCATTGAGATTCATTCGGGTAGCCATGTTCTGAATAATTTATTACTCATATTTTTCAAGATAAATGAAATTTACCAAACCCAGTGGAAAAATATGTCATATTACTTATTTCATATGCTTCATTTATTGGCAATGATGATAAGACCCTTTGCTTTTACACTTCCACCTCCTGTGTAATCACATTAATAATTTTTTGCAAGCCTACTTTTGAAACGGACATGATGAATAATCGAATGGAAAATATGAACAGTTTTCAACAGAAAAACACACTCACACAATTGCTAACTGCACTGAATAAGTCACTCACAAACAATTTCTAACTGCTGCAGATATCTTCTTTCAATTATTCCATATTAAAATAATCATTTCCTATATAATATATAGCGAGTCACCTCCAACCGCAATCTGTGCAACAAATTGCGCACACATCGCTAGTAGGGGGCACTCGGCGGCCATTCATTTGTGGCTGGAACTTCGTGGAGTACAGATGTGAGGTGTAGTGACCGCTCGTGTTAGTTGGTGGATCTTGGGTGGCTGATGTGTGTTGGTGTGCGTGTATGCAAACTAGTTTTTACAGAGTACACATGATTATGCTGAACCCACTCTTTACTGTGTATGCAATCCATTCTTCATATTCATGAAGGATGTCTTTACCGTGTATTCAAATTCCAATGTCGTCACCCCAATCCCCTCCACTGCCATTCACTGACTAGATGACCTTACAGATTGCTCATTAGTTGGAGGATAGTTTTGATGTTCAGATATGTATACTTTATACAAGATAGTTTGAACTTAGTACACATGAAGGATAATTTGTATTACCGTGTATGCGCCTCGCTCATCTCAAGGTCAAAAAATTATTATGACGTCGAACACACACCTCCAATGTCTCAGACTAAGAAAATATACCTATAATACATTTTCAGCTATGCATCAAACATACTGTTCAAGGTCAAAACTGATTATGCACCAGACATATCGTTCAGAGTCACCCCAATTACACCACTTGTTGTTAATGATGTCATAGTGGTGGGGGGGAGGCTTAGAACTGGCTCAAATCTCTTACTTATATCTTCTGAAGAAATTGAGAAATCAAATAATTTCAGAATGAACTATTCAAACAGATGTGTAGATCATGGAAATGAGTAACTTTCAGTTCAGAGTAGTCGTTTCAAGAGGACTTTTTCTTTCAGTTTGTGTCTGAAAGTTATTTATTTGCATGATCTACACATATTTATAAAGAGTTATTTATTTTGAAATAAATTTCTTCCTTCCTCTCTTTGTAAAATTCTTACATCTTTGTATAAATTAGGAGAAGTAGAAAGCCAAACTCTGTCTATCTCAAAATTTCATCTCTCCTAAAAGTATACCCCTCTAAATTTGAGAAATTAATGTTATATTAATTTGTATATAATAACCTCCTTACTCTTATAGTGATTTCCTATAAAATTCAGATTCGTTCATTTTCATGATTTTTCTCACATTGGTTCTATATTGGTTGAAAATATGATTTGATAAATTAGAGTTTTCATATGGCTAATTTTCTTTCTCAATTTTTTTCTCTAAATACATCAATTTCTCACCTGTAGCACACAGAAGGCTTCCCCAAAAATGTACGGATATTTAGACCATATAGAATATATTTCGGGTGGTAGTCCAGAAATCAACAGCAGCAAATCAGAAATTGCTAAACTGAACAGGTAATAGTTCGTCGCAGTATGCATCGATTTGTTTCTTGCAATAACTATACAAGTACTGATATTTCCAATTACACCACTTGAAAAAATTGTAATGTATAGCACACTCATAGTAATAACTATGGGAAGCGGATCCCGTCTAGGACCCCAGTCACTTTCATTCTGATAGTTGGAAAGGAATTCAATCAAATCTGTAGAGATATTTTCCTGTTCGGGTCTATGCGAAATCTGTGAAGAATTTTGCATTTTTCCTCAGGTGATTTGCGAAACACTCCACGTCGGCATTTTATAAGTATCTGAAACAAAAAATATTAGCTTTCAAAGTGAACCTTACTTCGAGTGAATGTTATATATTTCCTAAATGGGAACTGATTCAAGAAATCTGTATGTATAATAATGGTCATGATACGTATATTTTTTGAAAGAAAGAAGTACATCTGATGTTCATGTGGATACTTTTGAAATAACATACGACATATGTTGTGTAAAACGACTCTCCTCGATAGGAAGACGTAACAGATTATCTTTGGTCTGGATTCCTGGCCATACTGGCCTGGAAGCGATTTTACAATCTCTATACCAGCGGTCGCCAACCTGTCGATCGCGAGCTACCGGTAGCTCGCGAAGGCAATTCTGGTAGCTCTCACAACGATTTTAATTTAAAAAATACAAACTGCAAAAATCAGAGAAGCTTCCGAAAATTCCACAAAAAAATCTAATTGTCATAATATTAAACATAAACAGCGGCAACGTTGCGGAGAGAGATCTGCCGCTGACGCCATCAAGCTAGATTCGGCTAGAACCGACCAGCCGGACCAGCGCGTTAGTGTTCGAAAACGATCTGGATTGCTTTGAACGGGATAAATACGCTCGGCGCGGCGACATTGCGCTTAGTTTAAAACTGAACGCGTAACCAACGTCCGGCGGTTGGGTTAGTAGAGAACAACAAAAATAATATTATGGCAAGCAATTGTAAGAAGGTAAAGACATACCACTATCATTCGGAATGGGAAGAACAATACTTTTTTACAGAAGTTAAAGATAAAAATGTGTGTTTGTTATGTAATACTTCGGTCTCCGTTGCTAAAAAAGGAAATATTGAGAGACATCATAAAACTGTACCTACATTCTAATTTTGAAAAATCATTCCCACTACATTCTGCCGCCAGAAAGGAGAAACTGAAAGAGTTAAAAAAGCAGTTAATTGGACAACAATCAATATTTTTAAGAACAGTCGACAAAAATAAGGCTGCAACTGAAGCATCGTACCGTGTGTCTCAGATAATTGCACAAAAAAAGAAACCTTATGAAGACGGGGAAATGATAAAACAGGCGTTTTTAGAAGCTGCTGATTTGTTATTTGCCAACTTTAGAAATAAAGACGAGATAGTTTCAGCTATAAAATCTATGCAACTTTCTGCTAATACAGTGATGAGACGTGTAGAAGTAATGAGCAATGATATTTTTTTACAGTTAAGAACTGACTTAGATAACTGTGTTTATTTTTCACTTCAACTGGATGAATCAACAGATGTCGTTGACACTGCCCAGATGGCCGTGTTCGTCAGGATGGTTTTTAGTGATTTTACGATTAAAGAAGATCTTTTGAAGTTCATTCCACTGAAAGGACACACTACTGGACATGAGTTGTTTTCTCATTTAAAAAATATTATTTCTTCCGAGAAAATTCCAATATCGAAAATGGTAGGCTTGACAACCGATGGCGCTCCAGCTATGGTGGGTTGTGATAAGGGTCTGGTGGCGTTATGTCGTAAAGATGAAACTTTTCCGCAATTTCTCTGTTACCACTGCATTATCCATCAGCAAGCATTATGTGGAAATTTCCTGAAACTAAACAACGTTATGAAACTGGTGGTAAAAATTGTGAACAAGATTAGAGCTCAAGCGTTACAAAGAAGATTATTCAGAACCTTGGCCGATGAAGTTGACTGTCAATACGGGGACCTACTCCTTCACTCTGAAGTCCGATGGTTAAGTAGAGGACGGGTGCTGAAACGTTTTAATGATGTCCTATCTGGCATAGTTCAATTTTTCAAACAACGCGATGAACCGACTCCGGAACTAGAAAATTCAATCTGGCTTAGAGATTTTGGTTTTCTCATGGACATTACAGAGAAATTAAACGAACTTAATTTGCAGCTTCAGCGGAGAGACAAAGAACTAGCGGAAATGATTTCTGATATAAAAGCATTTATCAAAAAGCTGGAGTTTTGGGAACAAAACCTAATTAACAACGATGCCAAGCATTTTCCTATTCTTTCAGAAAAAATATCTCAAAATCCATTAGAACCCTATGACAACAAATATCATGTAGAAATAATTTCTACCCTGAAGAATAACTTCAAAAATCGTTTTAAGGATTTCAATGAAATGGCTTTAGTAGCGCAGTTTGTTGTTTCACCCTTTATGGAAATTGATATCCAACAGTTTGCAACTTGTGTTATGCAGAACTTTGGCGAAGACATCGCTGCAACAGAAATGGAAGTCATTGAGTTTCAAAATGATTTAGCCTTAAAATCGTTAGTCTCAAGTACTGAATGTATCTGGCCTATTGTAAGTAAAGACAAATATTCAGTTCTATGCCGTGTTGCCTTGAAAGTGAAAGCATTATTCAGTTCAACCTATTTGTGTGAATCTTCTTTTTCCAATATGAAGTTTATTAAGAACAAATATCGCAATCGACTTACAGATGAACATTTGGATAATTGTATTCGAATGGCTGCATCAAATTATACTGCAAACATTAAAAAAATTATCGATGAGTCTGAGTGTCAGCCTTCTCATTGAACGTGCTTTTTTATTTTTCAATGTTTATGTTCATGATAGTGCGTTACTTTTTTGTTGTTATTATTAACTATTTTTAAATCATACGTGACATGCCGTTGTGGCTGGATAAAAGTTTGTGTTTATTTTTCAAACACCAACAATTGATAGGTAGGAATGTAGCTATGAACAAGTACGTACTAGTAATATTAGTTATTTTGTTATTAGTTTATTATTAGTACCTATGAATTATGTATTACCAGTTGAATAGTAAAATAAATACATATAATGATAAATTAACTTTGGATTATTTCATTTACGTTGCGTTACGTGGCTTCCGTGTGGGTAGCTCGCTGTTTATTTCAAAATTAACAAAGTAGCTCAACACATTGAAGAGGTTGGCGACCACTGCTTTATACCAATACAGTCACGATGGTGAATGAACTCGAGTAGTTTTTGTTTGCAAATAATTAGGTACATATTCTAATCTATTACGGTGCAGAAATTGACGTTACTGGAATAGAAGTTGTAAAGTTAATTTTGTTAGCTTTTACCGGCACAAAATCTAACCCATTTCAGAATGTAATCATTATTTAAAAATCGCTCAAATCTAAAGAGTTCATTCGTAGTCATATCAGGTAGTTATTGTGTATCGCCACGTGGTTTAATTTGAGGTTATGATATTTTGTTTAGTTTCATTAGTGCCTCAAAATGGCTAAAACAGTAATAAAAAGTATCGTGGGTAGTGAAATTCATTATTCTGAATTTGAGGAGAAAAATGAAGATCACTTTGTGACTAAATTTCAGTGCAAGTTAACAAAAGGGAGGAAAAATGTGAAATCTTTTTAAAATACTTTTCTCGTAGCACAAACACTAACTGGATTGTAAACAAAGTGTTTAATAACTGTGTTCGTTATGAATTTCGAAAATTTCATGTGTCATCTGCCAAAAAGAATAAACGTTTACTCAAGAACAAAGATTGTACTAGAAATTACGAGTGTTTGGCAAGTATAAATATAAAATTTTCAAAAATTACTGAATTACTTTGAGAAGATCTAACTTATTAAAACAAGGTTTAAATGTAATGATCAATATAAACTATGATCATTCTCACCGAATACAAGTTGCCGAAGCATTTAGCTTATGAAATGAAGATACAAAAGAAACTTTTCGCTGTTATTTTGAATCTGGAATGACAGCTTCTGCCGCCGAGACTTATCATGAAATGTTTTCATCTGAAATTGGGATGGGGACATTAATGTGCTTCTGGAAAATGCGCAAGTTAACCAACAGAAAGAAAAGTGACCTACTTTTATCAACAATGGAGGTCTGAACACTTTGGGGGAAGGGATGACCAAAGTGTTATTGAAAGAATAAAGATTGAAATTGAAGACTTGCGAAAACAGGATATACTTTTGTGTCTTAACGAAAATCCATTTCTTGTTGTTCTAATAACCGCCGTTATTAAAAGAGCTTTTAAAGCAGGTCATGCAGATGAGATGATCTTCATTGACACGAGTGGTTCTTGTGACCAAAGCAGCACCTCTGTCACTTTTATTTTTGCAGCGACAAAAATTGAAGCATTGCCAATAGCTGCTAAGAAAGTTTTTCTTCCTTTTTCAGAGGAATCGGGCAAACTACGGATATGCAGTTGGTTAGTACCTCGTCCACCAGATGGAGTGACATTTTGTGATGTTCGCTCCAACTTCGGAAGAGAAATGAAATACTCTGAAAGAATTCCGATTTTCAATTCTGGAATATCATTGACTTTAAGTGGCTAATGAGCCCGAAACCAATCTGCAAGTGTGCCCATTCCAAAATTGAGGGTCGACTCTTTCAGTTGTATTGCCAATTGCATATGCAGGAAATTTTCTGTGAAGATTCCTGCACTGACGCCTATCAGATAATAATCCAACGCCCTTCGTGGTATAAGCCAGGGGAGTAGTTGTTTTCTGATAGGCGTCAGTCCATTAAACCTACTGTGTAGGTATATTGAGACTGGCCTGAACGTTTAAAGTTCATTTGCTTTAGATAAATTATAATTGATAAGGAAGAAATAAGCCTTGACAGAAGGATTACGGCAAAATAAAAATTTCCAAAACGAGAAAGTACGAATTTTCATTGTGTTAGGGTACCTATCTCTCGAATTTATTCTGTAGTCTGAATTATATTTTGAAGAAATCGAAAAAATGTACAAAAGAAGTAACGACAGGACCGTAATAAAAAACTGTTGTCACTGATGATGGTAGTTATTTCAAATGAAATGCTATAAAAATATCAAATGTGATATACCCTTGGAGTGTGACTTTATCGCTTCATCAATATCTGTAATAAAAAAGAAAGGTCCGTATTAAAAAAAGTTGATGGTGGCCATGTTGACACAAAACGTTTAATCGAATATTCATTATTACATTGTCATAGTACACTTCGAATAACAGTTTCCTTTTCCATTTTTTGATATTCTACGGAATAACAATTCCATTCGAAGGGCGAGAATCCC